ATATATATTTAGGTAGTTAACATAAGAGGCTTTTTGGTTCTTAACATTTCATTTAGAATGCATGTAACAGCGCGCCGCTGAAATAACGTTACATATGTATCTGTACATAGATTTATTTGTGGGGCTAACAACATGATGCAACGAATTGTGTTAACTGCATACAAATTACTCCAACATTGATCTTAACTTTATTGTTTCTCTTTATTATTTCTTATTATTCCAATATTTGACATAATTCCCGACCCCTTCACTCATAGAACGGCGCTCAAGAACTGCAAAATACAACAACAGAAAGCACCGCTTAGACAAAGCAAAACAAGAAAAGAAAAAAAAAAAAAAAACGAAACTGAAAAAGTCAAACATCAAAAACTACTACAAAAACAACAACAAGAAGCAGCAACTACTGCAACAACAACATCAACTACAATATCAACTAAAATGCAGTAGCAATAACAACAACAACATGAAAATGCAAAATAATTAACAACAATAGATGGGAATGAAAATTCGTCCATGTATAAATATGTAAATGGGCCGCCGCATATTTGATGTTTTGTTTTCATCTGGGACAAACGACAGGAAAACGAAAATGTAAGATTTACAAATGATAAACCAAAAAAAAAAAAAAAAAAAAAAAAAATAAAAAAAAAAAAAAAAAAAAAAAAAAAAAAAAAACGCCAAAACCAACAACTTCAAATTCAATTCAATGATATATTTGATATAACATTTTTATGTGTGTGCATGGCAAAAAAATTGCATAAATTTCAAATTGTATTATAAAATCGGCAAAGGCAAGCAATAAACTTCATAGACACAGAAGCCTAAACTGCGTATATTAGAGGCAAACGAAATGCATATATACATATATATGTATATATATCTATATTTATACACATATTTATGCAAAGAAACTAATTATTTGAACATCTTGAATTTGTAATTTTACATGAGAGTTTTGTTGTGCGTGATTGTTACCAGCTTTCAATTTTTAGAGTTTCGTATTGCAGATGTTGACCAAAAATCCTAACATTAAAAATGAATTCATTTATACACACACACGTATACACCACACACACCTCATTGATTGTCCCATCATTGAGATACATCTGATATACGTAAGCTCTCAATATCGAAAGTCACATTTAATTGTAATAATAAAATTCAGATCAGGAGAAACATATTCAATATTCAATATGCCCCGCAAATGTACACGAAACATCGAGCGAAAGCAGATGGGAGGAAACAGTTTGTAATTCACAGCAAAGAGTATATACAAAATGCAAAATGCAACAAAGAAAAACAAACAAAAAAACTAAAAAAATATATTGGAAAAAATAAAAAAATTGAAAAATATGAACAGCACTTTTTTTTAATCATTTATTGGGTTAACTTTATAGTAAATAATTTTTACAATTGATCTCTGTTTAAACTAGCCTCACAATATTAGCCATTATTGGAGGCTCCTCACACAATTTTTTGTTAAAGAATATATTGCGTGTTACAATGTTTTGATTTATTAACTTCCAGAGCAATTAAAAGCATTACAGAAGCCTTAGGTTAATAAGCAATTAAAATTTGAGAATTTTACGTCTTCGTAGTTTATATATGCTTATATAAAACTAAATATCAAGCTTATGTTAGCCATGTTTTATAGTTGATAATTCGAGCTTTATAAGTTGGTTGTCAGCGATGTCACCGTCGATATATTCAGTCGTTCCAATCTTCCCAATACCAAAAGCTCATCAATTGAGCGTTTCGCAAAGAATTTCTGCTCTTCGCTCAATTTAAGGAATGCGTGAGCCCAGGCCCGGGCATAGCTTTCGGCTTCAGAGATTGCACTGGCATCAATGTGAATTTCTTGGGAGGAATTAGGATGGATGGTTTCCTTACTGAAGTCTATCGATACGTCTTCAGTCACATTATCTATCTCGATGGGATGCTCTTCGGTGACCTCGGGTGACCAAACCTCATCCTCCGAGAATAACTTAATAAGTGGTCTCTCAGTGGACGTGTGATTTTCTTCCTGTGAACCAATTTGCTCAATCTATGAAAGGGTAGAAATATAAGTAAGTATTAGAAGCATAATAATCTGCTAGGCAGCACTCACCTCTATATTTGAAGCTGGTGTGATGTTGAGTTCCTCGTAGTCTTCCTCATCGCTGTACTCTGCTTTTGTATCTACGAAATCATTGTAGGTTTGAATTTGACGCTTACCCGTTGTCATTGGCGTCCTTTGCTCACTGTCACGGATTTGTGATTTCTTTGGCGACTCCCCATCCTTGCCGTGCTGCTTCAGGTAACGTACATGACATTTGTGTATACGCAGATTGGATGTAGTACCTCCAGTTGATTGCATTACACGCTTGCATCCCAAGCAATAGTATCTCCACTTTAGCTTAGTGCCGTCCGGACGGGCAATTTCCCTGTACACGTTCCACACAGAGCTGCGTTTCTTCTTCTTTACTAGTCTGTACTGGCCATCGTGGATTTTAAGTAATATATCCAACTGTGATTCAGTACACTTTGCCTCTTCTTCCTGAACATTTATTATAAACATTTCTTGTTTTATAGGCTTTTCCATAGCGTGTTGACCAGTGTGACCCTAATTAGAAAACGAAAAATACGAAGACATGAAAAATACTAAAAACACGGTGTTCATATTAACACTGATATTTTCAATTGTATCTCATTCGAGATTTAGATTTATTTTAAATTTGAATTAAAGTGTATAAATAATTTAAAAATATACATACATATATTTTTTTTAATTGCGTAAACTTTATTCTATTATTTTGCATTCCGCAGCAATTCAATTAGCGTTTTACTTATCGATGTTAGCTCTCGGGATATATGTTTCATGACCTGTAATTTTTGTTTCTCAATGGCTAATTTCTCTTCTTCAATATCCAACATACGACTTGTTGGATCAGTTCTTGTTGCGTGATAATAATTGTCTCTATCTGATCTTCGTAAATTTGACGGAGGTCGCCCTACTTTCTCATCTGCCTGGTCTTGCTCTTCTACCTCTTCTCCATCGGCGTGCTCAGTCTCGTCTGTGGGCATAGGTTGCTGCTCTGGTTCTCTATCCTGATGGGAATTGCTATGGATATGATTTTCTTCATCACTACTGTCCGCATTGAAAAATGTCGAGGAATCTGTGTTAAGAAGATTTAATTATGAATTCATCCATAAAAGTCTGGCTTTTTCAACTGGTTACCCGTATTATCGAATATGATTTCCTCAAAATCTACAGAGGGCGTTCCAATTAGCAGAGATTGAACTCGTTTAAAATATTGCCAATTCGTAGGATTCCCAGCTTTAACTTTCTGCATTTCTAGTCTAGAATTGAAAAGGAATTATGAATATTTGAGCAAACATATCACTCCACTGTAAAGTACCTGAATTTCCTAGACATATTGTCCATTTTTGATTTGATCTCTTTATGACTAGGCCCATATTCGCTCATTTCCTCGGCCATTTCTTTGTGTATGTGGGCATTTTTTCGTGGGCCCCGTAAGTCTTTTAAATGCTTTTCCCACAGATCTAGGAAAATGTTTGTTGATTTTGGCGACCACTCAAATCGACTGAGGCTGTCCAACCTTGGGCGGATTGGTTTATGTTCTGGTATACTTGGGGCTTCGTCAATCACAAATGCATTATGTTCATCTTGTAATATTGATTTGTCTTCCACTTCATCCCCGTCTTCTTCCTCTTCATCATCTTCTTCAGACGAAAGATTGATATTCTTATAAACAATCTGTTGGGTTTTCTGTTTTGCATCCTGAAATGTTGTATTGTGATCTGCATTTCTAGGTGAGCAGGAATCGTCGGAAAAGAGTTGAAGCAGCGGTCGAATCGTGGATGTCAATGTCTTCAGTGCATCTTTTTCATTGTCGGTCTGTTCCATCTATGAAGATATATTATATGATTAATTTTGAATTTCATTGTTTACGATGTCCTCCTGCCTCTGATTCTGTCACAAATTCCATATCACTCAGTTGGGACATGTCGTCTTCCTGGTAGTCTTCTGATTCAGGCAAAAGATTTCTCTGCTTCAACTTTGTTTGGGTAAATCGTTTGTTACCCATTTTATGAACTGATGGTGCAACGGCTCTGTGTGTTACTTTCAATTTCTTGTTGTTGTTAATGACCCGATATCGTTGAGCGATAGACTGACCATCGGTGGATCTCATTGCGTGCAATGTATTTATATTTTTATTGTTTACAAAATTTGTTATAAGCCTTCAGCTGCTTCTGTCCCGTTGGTATTTTACAACACCAATTTGATATTTGTAATAAACGTTTTCGATAACACTTCGATAATAATTGAGTTGGCTGAATTTGAATAAATACTAGTTCTAGTTCGATAAATAATGTTAGGCGCGCAATTTCAATTGAACTCATTGTATGGTAATCTACTTAAAGTTGCCATTGCTCAAAAATGTTTCAGTGCTTTATCTCAATTTAAAAAATACATAAATTTTTATATTTGCAGAATTGGAGCAAGACAAGTAACCATATGCAATTGGTGCTATTTAGATCTATGTAAATAAATTGCTGACATCAGCAATTGTCATCGACTCAATGAAGATTCGCACGCATTTTAGCTAATCATCTATATTTGGAAAGAGGGGCTAGCTGAGAAAGAGCACAAGAATAACGGACGACAACAATCAACGACAATTGCGCCACGATTACGTCTAATGGGAGCTGTTCCATCTCTCACAGAATTGAGAAGCTGAGCCCCCACAGGCCTCTGCGTTTGTTTCTACAAGCCGCAGGAGGGGTAGCAGCAGCAGCAACAACAACAGGAGTTGAGACGACTTGAAACACTGTCTGACCGAACGAACTGACAGCGACTTCAAAACCCAATTTATGTGTGCATCAGCTTGCAACCAGTTTAATAAGCGCATCTCAGCTTGTTTTATTCCCCCTTTGGAAATTCGGCTCGTGTTCTGCTTGCATGCAGCTGTTTTGGGTAAAAATTATCACTTAAATTGTCGATTTAACGAAATATTAAACCACACTGGAGGTGCCACAGGTGCAGAAGTGGCTGTGGCACGCGCTTGATTTGATAAAACAGCTGCCGCTTGAAAACTTGCTGGCTTGCCACAAAGCCATATATTTGTATAAGTCTGGATGCGCTCTATGTGCGGTTCCTTAGCGTTTCAGAGTTAATTATTTTCTGTGGTTGTTGTTTGGCTGTTGTCTCAACAACAGAAATTATTGTTGTTGCCAGTTGGGAAAGACAGCAGCAACAACAAACATGACCATGACTTTGTGCACGGGCAACTTGATTATGGCCCATGCATTGGCATCATTATGGTGACTGGCGAGTGGAGACCTTATTTGCTTCTTGGCGCATAATTTAAGTTAAAGCCTCTCGCACAAATGTCGCCTCATTGTTGCAATGACGTTTCTTGCCTACGCGATTGCATGCAGCCTGCTGATGATGGCCCAGACTGCAACCTTTGCTGGCTAGATGGCTGACTGGCTGGCTGCCTTCTGGCGCTTGATTGCAGGTTGTCATGAGCCTGGCTCTTGGCGCATCCAAGCTCCGTTGTGGCCTGTCGCAGCTGACATGGTGCATATCCTATGGCCATGTCTCTCAATTGCATTTATGTTCACCATGTCCCTTTTTCTTGACGTGGGTCGCTTGTATGTCTTGTGCTTTAATTTAACTGGTTTGTGTTTCGTTTTCTTTTAATTTTTCTTTTTTTTTCTTGCTACATGACGTGGTTTTTAAAGGAGCTGCACTCAGCATCGACTTCTTCGATTAGTTCTGGCTCGTGTCACGTGACCAACCCATCAAATTGGGCAACACACATCTCTAGTTGCAGCAGACTGCAAAGCGCATCCACAGCCCACCTTATTCATGCGGCCTGTGTGTGTGGGCGGCACCACTAGATAAGATATGTTTACCTAAACCAAACAAAATCTACATAAATGTGGCACAAACGTACCTACTCTACATACACATGCATATATGGATGTACACTCACACACACGCACTTGTAACTGTGCATAAGAATTGCGAGCTGGGAACATCTGGCAAAAGAACATTCGGCATTATCGGAGAAGGGAAAAAGGTTACAAAAAATTAAATTTGTAAGCAAACTAAAATTACAATCGGATATGGAAAAAAGTTTATAAAAAATACAATTTGTATGTAAACAAACTAAAATTACAATTTCAAAACGATTAATTCGTTAACCGTTATCAAGTTATCAAGAAGAATCTTTAAATGACCAACAGCTCTCGGTAAGGTCAAGCTGTAGACAAAAACACAAAGTCCCAGAGATAACCACAATAAAGACTCTGCTGAGCATACACAAAAATCAACTGCTAATGCTCGCTGGGATGGACAGATTGAACTCTGAAACTAATTTGATTTGACGCAAGGCAATTTACGACTGCCTCGCTTGGAGCGCGGCACGTTGGATTTGGAGGTTGGGGGCTTATCTGGGCGGCTATGCGCGCTCCTCTAACAATTCGGGGCCATCAAATTAATTACGTACTTCGTATGAAGAGGGAAGAAACAGTAGCTGTAAAAAGTTAATGAGCAGCAGCGTAGGCACAAAACGCAACGAAAGAACGAGAGACGTTGGCAACAACAACAACACCGATAGGCACAACCAGAAGTCGGAATAAAAACAAAAGCAAAGAACGCTTCTGATCGAAACGCGCGTTTGTTTTGATTATGTGACAAACAAAGCAGAAGAAAAGAAGCAGAAGCAGAAGCAGAAAACGACGAAAAGAAAAAGAATTGAAAAAACGTCGCCTGTTGGCTTTTAATTTAAAAAGTTGCTGGCAAAGGCAGTATAAAACGTGCAGAGCGCAAACGTAAGCAAGAGTAGCAAGAGATCGCAATACAAAAAAGTATGAGAGAGAGGGAGAGAGTGAGACGAAAAAAGGGGTAGATCGGCAAGGCAAGCGCAACAAGCAAACAAACACATTTGCCACATGTGGCAAGCAGTTAAACTCAAGCAAACTGGTTTTACACTCCCACACACACATACACACATACACAAATACAATGACAAACAAGCGCAACAAAGTAGAAAATGAGAGAGAGAGGTCGAGAGAGTAAAAGAGCGATTGAACGAACGTATGTATGTTTGTTTGTACTCACTCGCGCGCTCAAAGTTTGAAGCTCAGCTCCGGCTCAGGTTCAGTCGAGGTTTCAGGCTCGTTCGTTTTTGACGCGCTCGTCGTGGAATATTTATGTGCAAATTTTTCCTTTTGTTGTGAATTTGACAAGCATTTAAATCTTTAAAATATTAATAGTGTATAACAACTGTCTATCAGAGATTTAATAACACCAGTTCTGCACCTTTACGCATAAATAAAAGTTGTTAATAACAAGCAAAGAATATTAATATATTCAACTCAACTTTTTGTGGCTGTGCAAAGAAAGTAACTTTACTTCTTGGATAACTGTTAATAGTATTGCTGTGTAAAAACTAACAAAGCATTACAGGAATTACGATAGGTAAGTTAAATAAGTTTAAATTTAAATTGAATCGAATTTTTTTTACATAAATTGAAATACGTATATCGAATATTTCCCGCCACCAGTTCATATGGCATACAGCGTTTTCATTTTGTGTATGCAATAAGAGTAGCGTAAACCTGACCTAGCAAACAGAATCGAACTTGATGTATGATGAATCGTTAGCCATGAGCCCTGAACCAGAGTCATGTTCAATAATTTCTTTAGATCGGTTTTGTTTGATTAGAAACTGTTCGTTAAATTTTCAGGAATATATATTATTAAAAGAAAAAAGGCATATACATATATTTCCATAATATACAATTATCATTACAGTTAGGATCTCTCACTTTATCCATCCTGTTAAATGGAAAGCTAAGGCTGCATAGTTTTAACAGCTCATCTTATCTATCCAATTAACATTTTGACTCTCTCATATTTCATATTTTGGAAAAGCGACTACAATTGATTGCATTAATTTGATAACTCTCTTTTCAAATGTTATCCTGTCATTTTATAGACTCCAAATTTGTTATTGAACTGCGGCACGAGCATAAAAGTGGGTTATATTAATAAGCAAAAGGCGTTTGGCTTGGCATCATCTTTTTGCTTAAGCAGCTGGGCCAATCTTATGCTCTAGAGTTTCTCAGATTCGTGACTCGTTTGCGTGCTAGCCAACGCGAGTGGGTCGCTTGGAAACCTTTTTTTTTTTTGGCCATGCCAGACCAAGCCGGGCACTGGGTACCAAATATAATTGTTCGATTGATAAGTTAAGCCATTCAGTTGCTGGTCATGTTGCTCTAATTTATTTACGCCTTGAAGTTTCCGCCTCTTGCTCTACCCCAAAAGCAATGCAATAAAATATACACCGTAGCTGGGAAAGCTATGTATATCAAAGCACTCCGGTCACTCTCCGCCCACGCCAAACAATGCCAACCGACATTGCCCTCGACAGTTCCATAATTCTCCAACTTAATTGATTACAACAAAGTCCGAGTGCAAAGCTGTGGGTGGATGGTTTCTACATAACATGGTAGATAAAATATACAGATAGTTTAACAAAGTTTTTCTTTTGTTACGCCTACCTAATGTAAAATTACCTATAGATAAACCATAATTCCAGCATAAAATCTGCTATGATAAAGCTTGTATCTTTAGTGTTTTTCTTATCTTAGTTAACGTGGATTCCACTACATAATTTCTCCATAGCTGAGTACTTTTAAATGTACATATGTGTGTATACTATATATATATACATTTTATTTTCGATAAAAGCTTCTGTTTTCAGGAAGTTGTATAAAATTTATGGAGGAAACTGATGATTCGAGTATAAGTGATTCACATTTGACATAGGAAAGATTATTTAAAAAAAAAAAAAAACTACAAACTCACAAATATGTTTTATTCATATTTTTAAATGTATAATATAATTAATTTGAAAGAATAGAACAAATCTAGGAAAGTTTAATAGAAATAAATTTCAGTTTTTCCAATAATCGAGAGTTTTCTTAAAATCCTACAGGCTTGATATGAATACCAAATATGAATATTTTATTATTATTTATAAATTTTTATACGTTTATTTATAAATCTAATTTTTATCAAAAAGATAAATTTTACCTAAGAGTTATAATTGTTAAAGAATCACACTCTCTTTTATTTCTACTTTTAAACACAGTCCTAACTACTGGCCACTGTGGCTCTAAAAATTCTTGAACGCAGATAAAAGAAAGTCCATTTACAGTGATTATTATGTGTCAAGTCTGTGCAAGATGC